GCGCCCCCCCCCCCCATTTCCCTTCCCACAGCCCGAGGGATCTTTTCTGGTGCAGGAATAGGGAAAACATTCCTTTAATTGTCTTTTTTCCTTCTGAACCTTTGGTCTTAGACTAGGCCTAGGCTTTGGAAACTCAAAAGCCAAGAATGTGCGTCTTTCTGATCCACATTCCGTGGTGTCCACACTTGCTCAGGAAGTGGAAGCCAGATGCCTGGCTGCCTGCTAGGTAGCAGGCGGTATGTGGTGTAGTTTTGCACATGTGTGTAGAAATCTTTGCAAAATCCTGTCGGCTGAATTTCGTAATCCCCATTTTATAGATAGGAGACAGTTTCTGAGAAAGGTTCATCAAACTGCTCAAGCTTACGAAATAAGCAACTAACAGAGCTTGGAACTTGCAGATGTCTCCTTCTGACTGGGAAGTCTGCTCCCTTCTAGTGTGTTTACCATTTCCATCTTGGTTTGTTGTTTTTGTTAATGACCCTAGTCACTAGGGCTAGGATTAAATGCTCTTTCGATCTGCAATTATGTATATGTTTGTTCATTTCCTAAAGACATTTCCTCTTTCAGTGGCAGTGATTGTTACTTAAAATAGACTTCTGTTGATTTTGAAATGTTAACTCTTTATTGTTGCTCAAACAGTGGGTTTGGATATATGCTAATGTATTAGTTGGGTGACACTAGCCGCTGTAACAGGAAAGCGCCTAAATCTTGGTGGCTTTCCACAGTAGAAGTTTATTTTTGTTCTGGTGCCGTCCAAAATAAGCAGCTCTCCATGAAGTCTTTCAAGGACCCAAGCCCCCCTCCAGCTTTCGTGTCCAGAACAGCAGAGTCCTGTGCATTTAGCGGGCAGTTGAGGAAAGAGTACTATTCATTGGAATTTATTGTCAGCCAGGCCTGGAAGTGGCCCACATTAATTCCGCTCATAGTCTGGTAGCTGAACCTTGTCGCATGGCTATACCTAACATCGAGGGAAGCTAGAAAATATCGTCCAAAGTTGAACCCAGGAAGAAGAGGAACTGGTTTGGTAAGGAATTCATTAGTCTCTTCCACAGGTAATTTGGACAGGAAGAATACACAAGTTCTATAGGCCTGTATAAGTTATAGGATGTAATTTCAAGAACAAAATTGCCTTGTGATGACCAACATAGGTAGCTGTTCAACTGATGTAGTAGAATGTTCCTCCCTCAAACTGGAGCCATAAGGCTTCTCCACCAGGTTGCCACACACTGGCCCAAAAAGTGAATCTTAGTGAGTATGAGACTGAATTCCCATTACAGTTACACAGTTAAGTCATGTGTTTCTTGCCTGAAAAATACAGACATTTCGCAAAGATGTCTATGCAGATCTGAGCATGTTAGTATATAGAAAGTCGTGTGTTATTTTGCTAATGAAAACCAACTATTTTTTTGTCCCTAAGATGAAAATAACACTAATTTATTTTGCAGTATCCATTCAACATTGTCTAAACATTTTTCATTTTCCCTTGCAATCTTTTTTTGATATTGTATTGACTTTTATCATGATGTGGATTAAAATTGAGTAACTATAGGGCAGGTTTGTATCTCTGCTAATATCCAGTGATTTGAATAGTTCTGCTTTTCTAAGCTTTTCATCTTTTAGGAATGAATACCTTTATGAATATTTGTAGCATAGTGGAAAGATTCCAATCTACATGGTTCAAAAAAGCATTTTTTAAAGCAAGTGTTTGTTGAGACATGTCGTGTTGCTTATTAAGAGCCTGAGCCATAATCTTAGTTCAAGATATGCCTGGAGCCTCTAGTGCTTGTACCAGGATAACTCTGACAAGATATGTGTATCTAAACAATGCCATTTGCAGCCCTGCTATATGCTTCAGTTTATCTCTCCATTTGAAATCTATGAAATGGGAATGGAAATTCAATACTCATAAAGTTTCAATCGCATTCAAAATAGAACTTTTTTAGTATAGATTGGGTTTTCAGGGAATGAGCAGAAATAAAATACATGCTCATAAAATTGTATTTTCTTATTTGAAGATTTCAGTATTCCTTTTTTATTGCGCTGAAACTTCTAGAATACTTAAAAAGGAATCAGCTAAATAAAGAAAAATGTTCAATAAGTGCATGATATTATGTTGCAACATTTTCCCCTCCTTGGTAAATCCCAGTTCATAACTTTGAACAGTTGGGGAAATCCATACATAGTTATTACACTCTGTCAAGAGAAAAGTCCAGCAAGAAAGCAATCCCTGCCTACTGGTAATATCCATGCTACTATCTCAAGTAATGGGTCTACATAATACCAACACATTTCACTGTACAAAACTATTTCCATGGCATCTGTTGTTTTCAGGCGATTATGTTGATGGAAATCATGTTGTAATAATCTAGGTGAGAGAGTAAATTTCATTCTGAGTGCATTCAAATGAGAAATTCTCCGTGCTGTTTCTGATGTTCAGACTACTCATTTCCTTCAATTCTCTGGTTGCTCAACTGCGTCAACCATTCCTGGTTTCGGTCCCCCTATTAGAGTTGCTTATTTTAGAATAAGTGGAGTCAGCCACATAAATTTCCTTCTTTTGACACCTAGCACCTACTGTCAACCTGTTATAACTACAAGAGGCTCTCAGAATTTACATGCACCAGGCTGCTGCTGGCTACCTAAGAGTTCAGTTCAATTCAGTAAATATGTGAATGCTTCCTCCATGCTAGTTAATAGCGAGGTGACGGAGGGGGTACCAGGAGGAATTAAATTCAGCTTTTGTCATAGAGAGCTCACAGTCAAATGTATTTGGACAAGTATATTCAGGCCAGGCTTCCTAGGATAAGGAATTCAGTAGATCAGTGTAACAAAATGTTGAGAGAGAGCAGAGGAGGGGAGGCTGGCTCTGAATGAGGGGGCCCTAGAATGCTTCCAGGGGGAGATTAAACTTAACCTGGTCATGAATAAGATTTTGAAAAGCAGAAGGAGCCTGGGGAAGGAAGACACGTAATGAGACTTAGGTTAAGAGCGGTATGATGGATGAATTTGTACAAAGGGAGAGAAAGAGAGATGTGGGGACAGAGTAAACGGAGTCTTTGAGACCATTTAGGAGGCAAGAGAGCCCATGCTAGAGCAGTAGCAGAGGAGTGAAAAGAAAGAACTGAATTAAGATACAGGGTTTGGACATTGACTGGGTGTGTGGAATTGAAGATCTAAGCGAGAGCTCGGCTCCGAGCATTTTGACATTCAGTGGTTTGAAAGATAGTGTTGTCAAAAGCAGAGACAAACTCTGGGCAAGGAGTTGAGTTTGTGTAATAAAATGTGCTTAAGATACAGCCGATGATCATAATGAGGAATGGTTGAAAACCCAAGCAGCGATTCCAGGAGCAAACTTACTTCTACACAGATTCGGAAGTGACCTAGGGTGAGTGAGCTTGCACAGAGACAGAGGGTCGGGTTTAAAAGAAAAGTAGGCCTATGGAAGAGACTAGAACTTGGCTTACATTTAAGGAAGATAAGAAAAGTTAGCACTCTCCTTCCCCATGGCAGCTTGCAATATAGGTGCATTTAGACAAACACAGTGGACAGTGAGTCTGTAGGTATCACACTGTATGTTTTCTGTATCACCTTCTGTGCATCCAGTGTAACAGGTTTCTTCCTAGTTCTTAGTGATACTTTGAATATGATGAGGTGTAGGAACCCTTTAGCTGAGAGTAAAAGGTTGTTGTGTTTGTTATATCAGGGTTCTGGCTCAACCCTCATTATACCAGGACAAATGGTCGTTGCCATTTGCCATCTGGGTCTAATGAGCCCTTTCGCCTTTTATTTTTTTATATTAAGTTATTTTTCAGCTACTCTGCAGAAGTAAGAATAAAGAGATAGTAAAAAGCAACTTTATTAGAAACTTTAATAAGAATTAAACACCACAACTTTTGTGTATCAAGTTTTGGTGCTCAACCATCATAAATGATTAGTGTTCCACATCATTGTAGCAAAACAAGATGGTTCAGGTTCTTCAAGCAAAATATTATGTGATGAAAGCCTAC